GACTACAGGTGCCTGCCACAACGCCTGGCTATTTTTTGGTTGCAGCCATCATTGTTTGGCTGGGCCACCCTGGATTGGAACCTGCCACCTCAGGTGTATGTGGCTGGGCCTTAGCCACTTGAGCCACAGGGACCGAGCCTTTTTTTCTTTTTTGTTGTTTGTGTTTGTTTGTTTGTTTGTTTGGCCCAGCTATTTTTAGAGAGAGGAGATCTCATTCTGGCTCAGGCTGGTCTTGAGCTCGTGAACTCAAGCAATCCACCCGTCTGGGCCTCCCAGAGTGCTAGAGTGAGCCATCGCGCCCGGCCATAAGTGCCCAGGTTTTAACTACAGGGTTGGACTTCTACCAGATTATGAAGAGCCCTAAATGCCTTGCTAAGTGTGGCCTTTTTCCTGTAGTCACTAAGGAGCCAGTTTTCAGCAATAAAGGATTTACTCGGATTTTCAGGGAGGAATTATCACTTCAGCTGCTTCATGGAGGGGGACTAAGTGTGGAGGACTAGGCTTTCCCTTGCAGGTAAAGGGATGACAGACTTGGCAAGCAGGCAACCGAGTGACACTCTGGCCTGCTTTTTCCCAGCCTGTACAAGACGCTATCAACTGCCCCGCCAGCCCCAGACGAAAAGGAGGGGTGTGGAGCGGGTGCCAGACGCGAGAAGGCAGTCAGGACAACTGAGTTAGTTCAACCTGATCCGCGTCGGATACAGGAGAGCTCAACAGCAGGCGGGACAGACGACCACGACCACGTCCACTAGCCCCGCGCGGGCCCAGGAACGGGCCACCCAGCACGACAGCACATTTCGAGGCCAGTCCAGGATCGGACACTGAGGACCCCGAGCATACTACCGCCTGGCCTGCCTGCCGGACTCACAGGCCCCGCCGCACGGGTTACGGGCCGAGGGCAGCCGGCTGGGCAGGGGAAGGCCCCTGTGGGCCAGAAAGCGACAGCGGCGCATACTCGTCAGCCCCTCCCGTCCGTCGGGCTGTCTCCCTGGGCCTGGCCGCCTCACCTCGCGCGGGCGGCGCGCTCTTCGGCATCTCGGTGGCTCTAGCAACCGTCTGCAGTCAGTGGCCACGGCTGTCGCCGCCGCCGCCGCCATCCTCGGGCATCGGCGTCATGGCGTCATCATAGCGCGCGCCTGACGCCAAAACAAACCCGGGCCGCCAATGGGGCGGAGCGGGGGTGGTGTCTCGGGAGGCCTGGCAGCACGATTGGTGGCGCTCCCAGCGTGACCTGCCAATCAACGCCTTCGGGGCGGGGACAGGCTTTCTCCTTAGGGGTGGGTCTGTTTGTCACTCAGATTAGCTCGACTGCTAGCTGGGACTGGGTAGTCAGTGCTACGTAGGAAAGGGAGGGACGGGGGAAATAGGGAGGTGGTTTTAAGTATCTGGTTGGGGGAATGGAGGTTCTGTAGTGGGAGGTTGGGAAGCAGTGCGTTCCAAGAGGTTTCTGGAAGTGCCTCGGGAACAAAGGATTGACTTAAATTTCATTAAAATTTATTTTTTAAAACTGCTGTTAAGATAATTTCTGTCACACAGATACGTTAAATTGGTCCTCCAGCACAGCATAGTTTCAAGCTTTAACTTGTGGATTGGTGAAGGCAATCTTAGGCCCACTTCTGGAGTAACAGCTCTTTTTTTGTTGCCCAGGCTAGAGTGCCTTGCCATCAGCCTAGCTCACAGTAACCTCAAACTCCTGAGCTCAAACTATCTTGCTGCCTCATCCTCCCAGATAGCTGGGACTACAGGCACCAGCCACAATGCCTGACCGATTTTTTCTATTTTTACTAGAAGTCTCTCTCACTCTTGCTCAGGCTGCTCTTGAACTTATGATCTCAAGGGAGCTTCTTGCCTCAGCCTTGCAGAGAGCTAGGATTACAGGCGTGAGGCACTGTGCTCCCCTTTGTTGTTTTTGAACTTATTTGTATCCTGAGACTGCAAAGCAAACAGATTTTTTTTTAAAAACTGGCACTGACAGGGACAGCTTGAGCAAGAGGAAGACCCCTTCTCTGCTAAAAACAGAAAAACTAGCTGGGCATTGTGTTGGCCAACTGTAGTCCGAGCTACTTAGGAGGTGGGACAAGAGGATTGCTTGAGCCCCAGAGTTTGAGGTTGCTATGAGCTTTGATGCCATGGCACTCTACCAGGGTGACTGAGAGTCTGTCACACACACACAAAAATAAATAAATAAATAAATAAAATAAAAATAAAACAGGAAAAAAATAAACAGCTGTCACCATTCACAATGACCTCTATAGGATCAGCTGCTGGCAAATAAGGGTATTGTAACACCATTTCTTTTCTTTCTTTTTTTTTTTTGAGACGGAGCCTCAAGCTATCCCCCATGGCATCACGCTCACAGTAACCTCCAATTCCTGGGCTCAAGCGAGTCTCCTGCCTCAGCCTCCCAAGTAGCTGGGACTACAGGCGCCTTTCTCCTTAGGGGTGGGTCTGTTTGTCACTCA